GTCAGTCCTGGTCAGGTCAGGACTTGTATCTAAAGTCTTCCCTGCGCTATAAAGCACCATTTTGTATGTATCGGAATGCACATTGCTTGTTGAGATTCCACTTGCACTGCATTGTCCATTCAGTCATTTTTATCACATTCCGAATCCTCAGTTTATATGTACATCGCCCAACTGGGCATGTAATAGTTGGTATCGGAACACCGCACGTGAATCAGGACAATCTGATCTGACACTTGTGCGGGGACTAGGTAGCTGATTAGTCTTGATTGATTGATTAGAGCACACTCGTTAGCCCCCAAAATCACGATTTTGACCTCACTTCTGAAAATCAAAATTTTTTTCTTTTCTAGGATTTCGTTTTCTTGCTATTTTTGTTGTGGAAAATCGCAATAGCGCAACATCTGAATTACCGTCTTCGTTTTTCTTCTGAAAATCTGAAATTTCGTTGTTGGAAATCCGAAATATCTTTTTCTCGAAAATTTCGATCTCCTTTTGCAATTTCCCGTTATTTGGAAATTCAAAATATTGTTTTCCGAAAGTCGTTTTTCAGATAACGGTATGGGAAATCCCTCTTGCACTACCATTTTCCAAACTGCAAATACTCTCATCCAATTAAATCCGAATCCTTGTTATTTCTTTTCGAAGAGAAAAAAAAAAATCGCAGTTCTATGATTTTCACTACCTGATAATCATTGGCAGTCTGAAGTTCGAAATGTTTTTCTCATTGGTACTTTCGCACTTCAAGGGATTTGGGAGACCTACCGAACTTGCAAACGAGTGTTTTTTTCTTTTTCTCGAATTTTTTTGCAAAGTTCAAAACTTTTATCTTTTGATTAGTGGCTCCTTATCTGGGCGATTGATCCCACCCACCCCTCCCCACCTATGTTGTTGCCCCCTCTCGTCTTACCTTCTCTATCTGTCTCCGAGTAACCCCTGCGGCAGCATTGGTGATTTGCCACGTCAGCAGACCACTTCAGCAGGACACGTCAGCAAGACATGTCAGCAGGCCACGACAACCGACAGTAGTGCCACGTCAACAGCACAGAGTACCACGTCAGCAGGCCCCCGGCCTGGTCTATGCTTTTGCGCTCACAAACAACTGTTATGGACCAGAAGTCCAGGGAAACGGACGAGGCCTATCTGGCCCGGATGCTGCTTCTAATTACCGAAGCTAAGCAACGGTCGGATGCAGTAGCAGCTGCAGCAAAGAAGAAGGCAGAGGACGCCGAGAAGGCACGTCTGCTGGCAATTGAACAGCAGCGCCAGCATGATGAGGCAGCAGCAAAGGCTGCCGATGAAGAACGAGTTCAACGTCGCGAGACGATATTCAGCGGAGAGCAAGCTTTGCTCACAATGGCAGCGGATTGGCAGGCCGAGGCCGAGAATGGCAAGATGGAAGAGAGTGAAAACAAGATCGCTCACTCCTCTCCCATCTCACGGACCTCCTGGCAACATGCATTACACTGCAGGAGGACATCCACACCCTGGACGACGCGCTGACTCAAGTCCACAGCCGCCTCCGGCAGCTGGAGCAGCGACCCGTCGCCGCCCCCGATGCTAGCTCTTCCAACACCTCCGATCGCCTCGAGGCATTGGAGATGGACGTCGGCTCCCTCAAGGACGGCGTGCAGTTACAGCAAACCGCAACGCAACAGTTGGAGTACGACTCGACGAAGACAGATCCGATTTCATGGTTCCTCAAGTTCGAGCTCACACTGCAGCTACACCACGTCAAAGAACACAAGCACCACGGGTACTTGTACTCCCGGTCAAGGGGCGCATGCCAAGCATGGTTGGACAATCTCTTGTCCAAGTACGGAGTGGTAGCTGTCGACTTGCATACCAACATCATCTGGGATGATCTGAAGGCGGCGTGGCATAAGCGGTTCCAAGTAAAGCCGTCGGAGATCAAGGCAATGGACAAGCTGATGGTCTTCGAACAAGGCACACTGCCGAGTGTCGACTGCATTGCCGAGTACCAACGCTTGACATCCGTCCCAGACATCCAAATGGGCTTCAAAGCCATCAAACACTACTTCATCTCGAGGTCGTGTCCGACGTTGGGCAATGCCTTGACTCACGTCGAGGACACCCTGACGACACCGACAAAACTTTTTGACAAGGCCAAGAATCTTCAGCGTTCGTCTGCGCCAGGCCTGAGCAGAGATCAGCAAGTGGCCGTGGTCGTGGCGGCAACGCCAAGCGACCAAACGAGTGAGGCCGTGTCTGCTAATGAAGGAGACAGACTCGCAGCTGCCCGGGAAGGTGGCCGCCCCGGCAAAGGCCGAGGACGCGGCAAGACAAAGACAAACACCGCATCTAGCCCCGGGCCCGACGCAGCAGCTCCAGCCCCATGGTCCCATTACGGTCTCTCTGAATCAGCGTACAAGGCACGCACGAGATTCCGCTATTGTCTGTGGTGTAACAGCGATCAACACGACACAATGGCCGGCCAGTCGAAAGGCAAAGGCAAATCGGAAAACTGAGCACCGTCGGGAGCGACTCGACGACACTCTCGACGCCTTCGGAACCGGTCGCTTCGCGGGTGACCGCCCTTCGTTCCGAGGCACATGCGGAAGTCGATAGTCTTCCTCTTGTTTATTCTTTTAAGGAGTATGCTGCCCGACTCGTTCCTACGCTGGGTACTCATGCTCAAGGACAAGACGTGTGTGCGACATCTTCTCCGTCCGACAACGGGAACTTATCGTCTTCAAGTGGTTCTTCACGGGATTCTGCGTGCAAGTTCAACATAGAAGTATTGGACCCGCTCACGTCCGAGGATTTCGCATGGCTTCCTCTCCCGACCATGGACCGCTTGTCGGGACCTCAATGTGCAGCACTATGCTCTCATCTTCATACGTACTTATCCTTCTATGCACCACCAACTTCACCGGCGGATGACGAAGTCGCAGTGGGGGACATTCTTGCGTATGTTACCAAGGTGGCCCGCAAGTTTCCCAATCAGCGGTACGACGACAACAACGCACCGCTCCTCTATGTCCGCATCCAAGTTGGGCAAGCGTCCGACAGCGCTTTGCTGGATAGCAGTGCGTCTCGCAATTTTATGAGCCAAGCCTTTATGCAAAAGGATGACCTTGGTGCACAAGTTCAATGAAGGCAAACCCGACGACGATCGAGATGGCGGACGGAAGGACGCAGCAACTTATCGACCGCTACATCGAGGCCGTACCGATGTACACCTCATGCATGCGAACCGGTGACATTTGACATTTTGGACACAGACTTCGACATTATTTGGGGAATGCCTTGGCTTGCAAGTGTGGATCACACGGTCAACTTCCACCGGCGGACTCTTACCGTTCACGACGCCTTCGGCGCCGAAGTTTTGTGTACTATTCCTCTTCCGCACCCTTCGATTCGTTGCCAAGTGGTAACGGCCAAATCATTCCGGGTTACTTGTGCTTACGAGCAGCCCGACGAAATCGGCCTATGCTTCCTACGGACTGTCGCGGTAGCCGACTCTTCACCCACGGACTTGTCTTCGGACCCCCGTGTGGTGCGGTTGCTTGACAAGTTCGCCGACATCTTCGAGTCACCTACCGGTGTGGTGCGGGATCAGCCAATCTCTCACAGATCATTCTTGAGGCCGGTGCCGTGCCGCCGAAAGGTTGTATTTATCGCATGAGCGAGGAGAAGCTTACGGTCCTCCGCTCGCAACTCGATGATTTGTTGGACAAGGGCTGGATCCGCCCTAGTAGCTCTCCATACGAAGCGCCAGTTCTCTTACGAAAGAAAAACCAAAATCTACGATTGTGCATCAATTACCGCAAGCTCAACGTGCAAACCATCAAGAATGCGGGGCCTCTGCCTCACATCGATGATCTTCTTGAGCGATTGGGCAACGCAAAGTATTTTTCTAAGTTGGATTTGAAGTCGGGATATCATCAATCTCGATCTGACAGAACGATCGTTACAAATCCGCGTTCACGACGCGGTATGGGCATTTTGAGTGCGTGGTCACGCCTTTTGGCCTCACCATCGCCCCGACGACCTTTCAAGTGGCAATGACCAACGAGTTTCGTGCAATGTTGGACCGGTTCGTGCTGGTCTACTTAGACGATATTCTCGTCTATAGCCTGTCATTGGAGGATCATCGTGAGCACCTTCGACGAGTGCTGGAAACGCTCCACCGCGCCAAGTACAAGGCCAACTGCGACAAGTGCGAATTTGTCTGGCAAGAGCTGGAATACTTGGACCATTTTGTCACACCGGAGGGCATCAGTCCGCTATCGGACAAGATTCAAGCCATCCAAGAGTGGCCGGAGCCACGAAACGTCACGAATGTCCGTTCATTCCTTGGCCTCGCCGACTACTACCAGCGTTTTATCAAGGGTTACTCGAAGATCGCGGCCCACTTAACCAAGCTTCAATGCGAGGATAGGCCGTTGGACTTAGGAGCGGATGCGCATGAATCATTTTTGGCTTTCAAAGCCGCGCTATTATCTGCGGAGGTCTTGCGCATATACGACCCGCTTTTGCCTACGCCCGTCACTGCGGATGCGTCTGGCTATGGCATTGGTGTCGTCCTTGAGCAACACGATGGCGTGGACTGGGGCACCCGGTCCAGTATTTCAGCAAGAAAGTGCTCGTCGTGCACTCCACTGACGATGCACGCAAGAAGGAGCTCCTCGCCTTCGTCCACACGCTCAAGCGGTGGCCTCACTTCCTCCTTGGTCGAAGCCAATTTCGATGGGTAACGGACAACAATTTGTTGGTCTTTCACAAGACCCAAGACACCGTCAACATCACCATCGCTCGATGAATGGCTTTAATCGACCAGTTTGACTTTTTTCCTGATCACATTCCGGGGAAGTTGAACCGTTTTGCAAGTGCTCTTTCACGGTGTCCGGATCATGGTATTGTGGTCTATTCAACCTTCGAGATCGACAACGACCTGCGGGACAGCTTCATCCGCAGCTACCAAGTCGACCCCGAGTTTTCCGACCAGTACGCGAATTGCTCCTCTCCTAATCCCGCGCCTTCTCACTACCGGATCCAAGAGGGGTACTTGCYTGTCCACACACGGGGGAAGGACCTTCTTTGCGTACTGAGTGACCCTCACTTGCGTACACGGCTTCTTGGTGAGTTCCACGATGCTCCCGCCACCGGAAACTTTGTAGTCAATCGCATAATTGGCCGACTCCACGAGCGATTTTGGTGGCCCGGCCTTCTTGGCGGCGTCACACGCTATTGCCAGTCATGCGAGGTTTGCCGACGCTGCAAATCCTGCAACCATCGTCCATACGGCGAGTTGGGACCATTATCGGTCCCCTTGCGGCGAAGGGAAGCGATTGCCATGTACATTACCGGCCCATTCCCCAAGCACAAGACCGGCATCGATGAGATTCTCACGGTGGTCGACCGACTCACCAAGTTCGCTATCATGCCAAGGCACCGGAGTTGGCCGAGGTTCTTTACGCCGGTTGGATTCGAACTAAGGGTTACCCCAAAGAGATCGTCTGCAACCTCAACACTCGGTTCATATCCGAATTTTTGGTTGGCGCTCATCAAACGATGGGGCACATCTCTCAAGCCAAGTTTGGCTCGCCACCCCCAAATCGATGGCCAAACGGAGAGGGCGCATCAAACCGCACAGGTTCTCCTTCGCACTCTAATCCGCCTCGACTAGAAGGATTGGGTTGAGCAACTGCCAGATGTCGAGTTGGCCTACAACTTGTCCATCCACCCGACTATCGTGATGTCGCCCTTCGAGTTCGAGCACGGCTCGCCGGTCACTTCGCCGTTGGTCACAATCATTCAGGAACGGCCGAGAGCGACGACCATCTTCTTTTCTTGCGTCGGATGCGAGAGCTACTTGTCAAGGCACGCGACCAGATGGCCAAGACACAACAACGCATGAGCCAATAGGCCAATCGTCAGCGTCTTCCTTGCCCATTCCGCACCGGTGATCTCGTTTGGGTTTCCGCCGCGGAATTCAGCCTTGAACAAGATATTTCTCGCAAGCTCCTCCCGAAACGGATGGGGCCCTGGCCGATCGTGGCACCCGCTGGGGATGCACCCGAAGGACCTTCCTTCACTATTCAGGTGCCCGCCCACTTGCCCGTCTACCCAGTCTTTCATTGCTCCAAGTTGGCTCTTTACACGCCAGCGGAGCATGACGATTTTCCCGGGCGACGTTCGCAAGACCCACCCTCTATGGACGGTTTTCAGGAGGTCGGCGACATCATCTCCCAGCAACACTACGGCAACAGGCCAACCGAGTACTTGGTACATTTTGCGTACTGCACTCACAAAGTTGACCGTTGGCTGACCCGTGCGGAACTCCAAGCAACAGCTCCGGACGTTCTCGCACGCTACGAACGCAAAATGCAAGGCAAGCCGGTATCTTCGGCTCCACGTCGCACCCGCGTCCAGGTTCCACCTTCAGATCGCCAGCTTCGCCCTCGACCCGGCTTGACTTCATAAGGAGTGGGGGGTGTTACATGCTGTGCCTGCAACAGGCTGCACGTGCCATTTCCAGGCCCGTGACGTTTTCAGGCCAAAAGCCTGAAAACAAGGGCCTACAGGCCCTGTGTCGTTTCAGCTTGAAAGCCTGAAAACAAGGGCCTACAAGCCCTGTGTCGTTTCAGCCTGAAAGCCTGAAAACAAGGGCCTACAGGCCCTGTGTTGTTTCAGGCTAAATCAGGGCCTTTCCGGCCCTGAGTGTTTTCAGCCTAAAACGAGGGCCATTTTCGGGCCCTCATAAGACCGACCTGCCCTGAAACTCGGGCACCAGACCAGGATTTTAGCTCAAGCTATTTTTGGCCTATTTTCAAGACAACCTTTGTTTGAGCTTCAACCCCAGGGTCTGGCACGTTGAGGCATTGGCAAGAGTAGCCTCCTGGACAGGCCAGCACTATATAGGACTGACCCTAGTCCTTAGTATTCTAGCATTCTGTTTCGCTACCTTGTACTACGTGAAAGAGGTCAGTCTCGGTCAGGTCAGGACTTGTATCTAAAGTCTTCCCTGCGATATAAAGCACCATTTTATATGTATCGGAATGCACATTGCTTGTTGAGATTCCACTTGCACAGCATTGTCCATTCAGTCCTTTTTATCACATTGCGGATCCTCGGTTTATATGTACATCGCCCAACTGGGCATGTAACAATCACACTGGCCGTGGCTGCGGTACCTGTGGTTGTAGAGTGTCATCACAAATAATAGACAGCAAAGTTAGAACTCAGGAAAGACTTGGAAATTTGTTTCTATATTTATTGTGCAGTAAATACACGCACGCAAAATGAACTCTCTTTGGAAATGCCTGCGTGCCTCCATCTTGACGCGATTTATTCCACTTCTCTTCTTTCCTATCCCTCTCATAGTCTACGCTGATGAAGAAGTAGGGGACCTCAAGACGCATGGACAGTGGACAGATTGATGCAAGGATGCAGACTTTGGTCGGCCTCCTTCGCCAGCTCCTTGGTGAGATGCACGGTGTCGGACCAGCAGCTGAACAATACATTCACGGACAGTTCAACCTGCCAGCAACAGAGGGTGAACTTGAGGCCGCGGAAACTAGTGTTCAGATGTTGAAAACCGGGCAGCGAGTCGAGGAACTCATTAGACAAGGGCGTAATGCTCTTGATCGATTTGTCGCCGAGGAACGGGAAAGAATAGACCGAAAAGGAAAAGAAGAAGACAAGAAAGAAGGAAAGCAAGTGGAACCACAACTGTCTGTGGAACTAATGGAGGAAAATGTCAAACAATTAGAGAATACCTTGAGGGAAGAGAGAAGAAAAATTGAAGAGAGAGAACAACAAGAAAAGATGTTGGAGGAAATGAAGGAGCGGTTTCACTTCGAGGAAGTTGAGACTGACATGTCGTCTGTGTTGCAATCTATTATGGCTTATCTTGTTCATCTTGAAAAGAAAATAGACTCCAATACTGTCTCATTGATGAGAATGATGAAAGGTAAGGACAAGGTGAGTTTTGAGGAGGAGAAGAAGGGGGAGGTAGAAAAAAAATATCCCAAGAGAAACTTTTGAATGATGCAATGCGGAAGGAGGACAAACCCGGACCCTCGAAGTAGGAGTCCGCGGAACCGGCAGGAAAGAATGAAGAATCGGTCAAGAAGAAAGAAGAACCGGCCAACAAGAAAGAAGAAC